AAGTAGCGCTGTGGCTTAAGCAGTAGTGGGCTTACTTTGAAGAGCTCAAGAACAGCGCCCAAGCCCAGAGACCAACCAAAAAAAACAAAACAAAACAAAAAAACACAAATTCATGCAATGAATATCTAAACTTAGGGCCCTCTTGTTTTTCTTTTCTTTTCAGTCCCTTTTAGCAAAGCAGCCACCAACTACAGCTGGAAGGCCTGTGGTCAGTATTACCGATTTTGCCAAAATTATTAAAATTAAGTATATACTGTTTTACTTTTCTTAATCATATGTCTTGCATGGATATGCTTCAGTATAAGCTAGAATTCAACATTCTTCTGGGATTATGAGACTTTTCAAACAAAGTATACTTCTTTCTAGAAGATTTGAATCACGTAAGGATCTAGTTTATAAATGTTTATTATGTGTCCTGAGCTGTGTATGTGTGTTCTTTTACTAGAGTTTTAGATAGGAAATAGTGTAGCTTCATTCTGTGACTTGTCAGGGATTACACTTGTAGGATACAAGTTCAAATTCAAGCTCAGATCTGACTCCCAGGATTCTGCCTACAGCCAGAGCTATTTCTTTACACTCTTGCTTTTTCACCAAAGAAAAACTTGATATTTTTACTATGATGGTTCTTTAATAATGAGGACATAATTGTTGACATCTCTGTCAGTGGTGTCTGTATAGCCAGTAGGAGAGGTAGGGGATAGTGGCAAAGTAATCTTTTCATACGTAAAGTACAAAGTTTGAGGTTTTAATATTTGAACTTTTCTTGTTTTCCACCTAGGATGCATCACCAAGAGTCCCTGGAGGTTCCCCGCGAACCCCAAATAGATCGGTGTCATCCAATGTTGCCAGTGTGTCACCTATCCCTGCTGGCTCAAAAAAAATTGATCCAAACATGAAAGGTAAGTCTCTCATTCGTGGAGAAAACAACACAGCACATTTTGTAATGGAAAAAAATTCTATGTAAAATCCCATCTAAGTAGAATTATTGTCCTTTTTGTGCAGTTCCTTCTAAGTAAACTTTGTCTCTGTCAATACAGTCTCATAATAAATATCAGATGGTAGGCCATCCATCATACAGTGTTTTCTTCATTCATCACTATGTCGATGTTGGAAATTTTATTCTATTTAATCATTCTTCTGTGATAAGCCATTGGAGAAAGTAGTTTTATATTGTATCCAGCAGTCTGCAATTAATATAAAACTATATGTGTAATTGCCTTGTATGATTAGGCAAAAGAATTTGTATAGTTATGTCTGTTGATGTCATTCAAATGGATTACTCACTTTTACAGATCATCACCATTTAGTATTGTAGTTTATTTTCTTTTTTAAATGTAATTTAATTGTAAAGATGATGTACATACTTACATAAGTAAGGTAATGAGTACATCTCTTGTCAATCATTGTTACCTTCTGTTGTTTATTTTGTTTCTTTGAGACAGCATCTGGCTATGTAGCTTGAGCTGTCCTTTTGTGCATTTACTATGTACCCTTAGCTGGTCTCAAAATTCCCATCTTTTCTCTCAGCCTCCTAAGCGCTAGGTTACAAGTGTGTGCCACTGCACCTAGCTGTTACAGTTTTATCACAATCTGATTAGCATTCTTTTAATATTAGAGACTTTTCCTTATTCCCTTCTATAAATTGTTGAGTGCCATATTTTGTCTATTTTATCTCTTGAAACTGGTTTTCATATAGGATTAGGTACATTTTAAAATACGCAGGGGACAGTTTTCAACAGTTGAAGATTTAGTTTCCCCTCTCCTCTGTGTGTGTGTGTGTGTGTGTGTGTGTACAGTTGAAGATTTAGTTTCCCCTCTCCTCCGTGTGTGTGTGTGTGTGTGTGTTGTCCCCTCTCCTCCGTGTGTGTGTGTGTGTGTGTGTGTGTGTGTGTGTGTGTGTTGTCCCGAAGCTTTTTTTGCTCAAGGCTAGTGCTCTAGCACTTGAGCCATAGCTCTACTTCTGACCTTATATATATATATTTTTTTGAGATTAAGTGATTGCATAAATTTCACAAATTTTACAATATTGTGAGATAGTGATATTTAAAGTCACAAACGTATTTTAACCTTCACAAGGCAAATTGTCATTATCATGATCTATGTGAATTCTATGAGCTTTGACAATACGACTATTTCTTCTACATTTGGTTATATGTTTATTTCTCTTTTTGCTTGTAAGTGACAGCTGTTGCCTCTTTCCCTCTCATTCCCTCCCTCCCATCACTGCCCTTGAGTTGCTTAGTTCATTTTCATCAATGTCCAGTGCAGCTGAAGGGCCCCTCTGTTGTATATTTTCCTGTTTCCCTCTGATTATGTGTCCTCCTAGCTTCCCTCAAGTGTGCACATATATTTTTTTATTATGAAAATACTGTACAGAGGAGTTACAATTACATGGGCAAGATAATGAGTACATTTCTTATCAAGCATTATTGCTTCCTCCTTTGTTTTTTGTTTCCCCTTCCCATCCCTTTCCATATCCTCCCCCACATCTTCCCCCGCCCCAAAGTTGTAAAGTTCGTTTTTTGACATAACGACTTGTACATCTCATTGTTGCAATGGGTCCACCTGTATCCCCATTTAAATGATTTTTTTCCCTTCCCCTCCACAAATTATACCAACATCAAATACAGTGAAAGCAGGGCTTATACCGTGGGGGATGTGTGTGTGCGCGTGCGCACACACACACACACACACACACATATACCATATATGTCACTTCTGACTTATTGGAAACAAGAGTCTCATTGACTTTCCTGTCTGGGCTAGCTTTGAACTGTGATCCTCAGACCTCAGATATCAAGCGCCTGAGTAGCTAGGATTATAGATTGTGAGTTACCAGTGCCCATTTAAAGAATCCCTTTTATAGGGGAGAGATACAGTAGCATCTAAGATATTTGTTTAAAATGTTTGGGACATTAAAATAAGTAAGATTCTTATTTTGTACATATATGTGGTGCTGGTCCTGGGGCTTAACCTCAGTGTCTGGGTACTGGCCAGAGCTTTTTTGCTCAAGATAGTACTCTACCTCTTGAGCCCCAGCTCCACTCTGGCTTTTTTTGGTTGTAAATTGGACATCAAAGTTCCATGGACTTTCCTGTATGGGTTGGTCTCAAACCATGATCTTCAGATCTTAGTCTTTTGAGTAACTAGTATTATAGTTGTGAGCCACTGGTGCCTGGATTAAGATTCTGACTTTTAAATAATTTTTATTTCTAAACTTTGCCCATTATTTTTTCTGAGTACAGCAGACCCTTACTATGTGTGGCTTTAGGGTTTGTAAGAGGCCACCACTGAGGAAGAACTGAGCATGCCCAAGTTGCATGGAGTTCAGCACTGTACCATGGATGTTTGATTTGTTTTTCCCATATATCACCCAACTTCCACTAAAGACATACCTCTTTCCAACAGATCTATAAAACTCACTTTATCACTTAAATTATGCACATTCATTTTTGCTTTGGGGGAGGCAGATCCATCCTTCCTTCCTTCCTTCTTTCCTTCCTTCCTGCCAGTCCTGGGGATTGACCTCAGAGCTTCTTTTGCTCAAGGATAGCACCCTACCACTTGAGCCAAAGCACCACTTCTGGCTTTTTCTGTTTTGTGGTACTAAGGAATGGAACCTAAGGCTTCATGCATGTTAGGCAAGCACTCTACCACTAAGCCACATTCCCAGCCCCGGAGGCAGGTTTTCATAAAAGGACAGGCAGGGAAACAGCAGATCACACATTGATTTAATCAGAGTTCAGAACCAACTGAGAAATTCTCCACATCAATCAAGCTGTGTTAATGCATGCATAAGAATTTTTTTGTTTTTAAATTTTTCAATTCTTGGGGCTGGGAAGGTGGCTCAGTGGTAGAGGGCTTGCCTCGCATGCATGAGGTCCTGGGTTTGATTCCTCAGCACCACATAAGCAAAAAAAAAAAGCTGGAAGTGGTGCTGTGGCTCAAGTGGTAGAGCGCTAGCCTTGAGCTGAAGAGCTGAGGGACAGCACCCAGGCCCAGAGTTCAGACCCTATGACCGGACCCAAAAAAAAGAAAAAATTTCAATTCTTGGGGCTGGGAAGGTGGCTCAGTGGTAGAGTGCTTGCCTTGCATTCATGAGGCCCTGGGTTCGATTCCTGAGCACCACATAAGCAAAAAAGAAAAATGCTGGAAGTGGCGCTGTGGCTCAAGTGGTAGAGCGCTAGCCTTGAGCTGAAGAGCTGAGGGACAGCGCCCAGGCCCAGAGTTCAGGCCCCACGACTGGACCGCCCCCCCCCGCCACACACCAAAAAAAAAAGATGTATACTTGGGGAAATGTGGCTCACCCTCTATCCCTTTCATTCCATTCCTGCCCACCCACCCCAGAACTGAGTTATGGTGACTAGTTCTTACCTTCCCTGCCTTTCTTCAGTAGACATAGAAGTGTATACATATACACTATATATATAATATATATATATATAATTTCGTTGTTTTTTTTTTGTCCGTTGTGGGGCCTGAACTCTGGGCCTGGGCGCTGTCCCTCAGCTCTTCAGCTCAAGGCTAGCACTCTACCACTTGAGCTACAGCACCACTTCCAGCTTTTTCTGCTTATGTGGTGCTGAGGAATCGAACCCAGGGCCTCATGCATGCAAGGCAAGCGCTCTACCACTGAGCCACCTTCCCAGCCCATATAACTGTATTTTACCTCATTTAACATGTCTTTGCGGTTGATCGTGTTGGACCAATACTCAATTACATGGAAAAGGCATATTTTGTCTATTTATTGGTTGATGGAGAATTGGGTTATATCCATTTTTTTGGTGACTAGGAAAAAATGCTCCTATGAGCATTCATTTTGTGTGAACTTTAGTTTTTCTTCCTTTTTTTTGTTGGTCATGGGGCTTGAACTAAGGGTCTGGACACTTTCCCTGAGCTTTTTTGCTCAAGGCTAGCACTTTACCACTTGAAACAGCTTCACTTCCAGTTTTCTGATTATTAATTGGAGATAAGAATCTCACAGACTTTCTTACTCAGGCTGGCTTCAAACCACAATCCTTACATCTCAGCCTTCTGAGTAGCTAGAATTACAGGTAGCCATGAGCACCCAGGTTAACTTAGTTTTTCTTTCCACTAAATACTTAGAGAATTGCTGGGTCACTGTAATTGTGTTTAAGGTTTTTTTTAAGAAATGCCAGAAACTTTATAAAAATATTGTATTTTGGCTGGGCGTTGGTAACTCACCCCAGGTACTCACTGAGTAGCTGGTAGCTACTCAGGAGGCTAAGAACTGTGGATCACAGTTCAAAGCCAGCCTGGGCAGAAAAGTCCCCAAGAGACTTATTATCTCCAATAAACTACTCAGAAAAGGCCAGGAAGTGGCACTGTGGCTCAAGTCGTAGAATGGTAGCCTTGAGCACAGAGAGGCTCAGGGACCTGTGCCCAGGCCCAGAGTTCAAGCCCCAGGACCGGGAAGTGGGAGAGGAGAATAATAAATTTAAATAATTACCTGAGAGTTGAGTGCAGGAAATTGACACCTTTAATCCTAGCTATTCAGGAGACTGAGACCTGGAGGATCACAGTTCAAAGCCAGCCGAGGCAGAAAAGTCCTCAAGATTCTATCACCAAAATAACCAACAAAATGCTGAACTGGAAGCCTGTCTCAAGTAGCCAAGCAGCAGCTATGAGCAAGACCAAACAAGCTGGCATTGCTGAGTTCAAGTACCAATACTGGCAAAGAGAAGGAAGCAGGGATTAAATGATTTAGGTTTTTTTTTTTGGGTCCGGTCGTGGGGCCTGAACTCTGGGCCTGGGCGCTGTCCCTCAGCTCTTCAGCTCAAGGCTAGTGCTCTAACACTTGAGCCACAGCACCACTTCCGGCTTTTTTCTTTTTGCTTATGTGGTGCTGAGGAATCGAACCCAGGGCCTCAGGCGTGCAAGGCAAGCGCTCTACCACTGAGCCACCTTCCCAGCCCCTAGGTTTTGTTTTCTAAGGGGCAGTAGTAGGTTTAAAATTAGGATCTGGTACTTGCTCGCCAAGTGCTCTATTAGTCATTACTTGCTTTAATTCTTTTTCAGATAGGGTCTTAAGCTTTTCACTCAGCCTTGAACTTCAATCCTCCTAGTTATACTTCTTACATAACTAGGATTTTCAGAGTGAACCACTATCTGATTTGTTTGTTGAGAAAGAGTCTCAATTTTTTTTTTTTTGGGTCCGGTCGTGGGGCCTGAACTCTGGGCCTAGGCACTGTCCTTCAGCTCTTCAGCTCAAGGCTAGTGCTCTACCACTTGAGTCACAGTGCCACTTCCGGGTTTTTTCTTTTTGCTTCAGGCATGCAAGGCAAGCGCTCTACCACTGAGCCACCTTCCCAGACCCAGAATCTCAATATTTGTACCTGGACTGGCCTTGAACCATGAATCTACCCATTTCTACCTCTGAAGTAGCTAGGATTGTAGCCATGCATCACCACACTTGACTGATACTTTTACCTCTATATGGTATAACAAGGTTTCTCAATTTAAACCGAGGGAATTTTTCATGTGTGGGCCAATACTGGGGTCTGAACTCAGAGCATCATGCCCTGCTTGTCTTTTTCTAGTATTTTGCTGGTTCATTGGAGTTATATAAGATTGTCATGGAGGGCTGGGAAGGTGGCTCAGTGGTAGAGTGCTTGCCTTGCATGCATGAAGCAAAAAGAAAAAAGCTGGAAGTGGTGCTGTGGCTCAAGTGGTAGAGCACTAGCCTTGAGCTGAAGAGCTGAGGGACAGTGCCCAGGCTCAGAGTTTCAGCCCCAGGACCAACCAAAAAAAAAAAAGATTGTCATGGACTTTTATGCCCAGGCTGGCATAATCTCAGATCTCAGCCTTTTGAATAAGCAGTGAGCCACTGGTATCTGACTTAAAAGTAAGGAAATTTATTTTAAAATTAAGGATGTTATATAACTTAGTGTGCTAGAAAAGGTTAACAAAAGCCTTGGCAGTTTTTAAATGGAGAGACAGATGTTGGTGAAAAGGGCACTGACTCGATCTAAATGTTTCTTTCTTTTTCTTCATTGTAGGTCAGAAGCCTGTCTTATCAGACGTTCATGCAGAACTAGACAGAATTACACGGAAGCCAGTTCCAGTTTCTCCTACACCACCTACATCTCCAACAGAAGGAGAAGCTTCTTGAAGATACCAAATAAAGCCATGTACTCAGTTTTCTGGGATAATGTAAACTTGCCTCTGCCTTTTCTTTAAAGGTGGAATTAGGGAGCTGGAGTGCTTTACAGACAATTAAGTTTATGTCTGTCTTTTTTTTTTTTTGTGGCTACCCATTTTTGTAAAAGGAGCTATACGAAGAAACCTTATTCTACATTATGGGGAATTATTGTTTTCATTGCCATTTTGCATAAGGAAGTAATTTGGGATTTTGAAAATGTCTGAATTTATAGACCTGAAATAGAACCATGTGATCATATTCTAAAGGTTATATAAACCATACACAAGGGTTTGGGGAAGGGCAGAAAATATATAGTTTGGGCATTTGACTGACTTGGAAGTCCAAACTTAGTTAAGACTATTAAAATCATTTTAAAAAATAATTGTGTGTTTTGCTGAAAAAGAAAAAGTGATCAATTCTCAGATTTTGCACACCAACAATGTACCCATACATAGGGAAACTATTGAGAAGACTCAGCTAGAGTTCAACAAACAAGTCATTGTCTCAATCAGTGAGGAATCATCAAAATATGATTTAGGATTATTGGCCAAGACATTTCTTTAACTGCGAAGGACAGAAAGCACACTGCCTAAATGTGTAAAAGAAAAATGCAGAGGTTATAAAATTGTAAAGAGGTAACGGTCTTCGGATTTGTCTATACATATATATATATATCTATATCTATATATATGGCTCTGCCTTAATATACACCTTTTTTGTTTGTGACTTTCAACTGTAATCAGTTAATAAAGTATTTATTCTCTGCATTCAGGTTCAAATAACTTGTTGCATTTTCTTACATTTCAATTTGTCACCTAAGAAATAAGATTTATTAGTAATTTGAAATGTTGGATTTAATGGAATTTCTCAGTCCTAATTGGTCTCTGAGACAAATGAGAATGTGAGACTTGGTTCTGTTAAGTTTCTTAATTTGGGGTTAGCCTTGATCAACAGTGCTGTTCCCCAAAGGCATGTCTCCCAACTACAGAATCTCATATCGGCATTTCTAGCCTTTTATCATAGAATGGTGCTTCATAAGCTTGGTGGATGCACTAACAGCTCTTCTAATAGGTGAGAATAGTCATTACGAGTTCCACCTTTTAGAACATTCAGAAGAATAAGTTGCTCTATTCATTAAAGTTTGGCCAAACACATCCATAGCTCAGGCAGTAGAGCTTCTGCTTAGCAAGCCCTGAGTTCCAACTCCAAAAAATAAAACCAAACACATCCTCATTTGACCTATAAGAGAAAAATGGCTACTGCTTTTTAAATCAGCCTTTCTAAACAGTTTAGAATGAAGTGCCCTTCCCTCAAAGGTTCATATGTTGAAGGTATAGTCCACAAAACAGTGATCAGAGGTGAGGCTTTGGGGAATTTATTGGATCATGATTTTTATGCAGCACAATTTTTTTCTCTAAAACTTTAGAATTTGGTTGATCTATATATCATACATAGTGATGTACATCTGTAATCCTAGCACTTGGAAGGCTGAGACAAAAATCTTAAGCTAGCCTGGGCTATGTAGAGAGACTAACCAAAACAACAACAAAAGACAAAACTTTAAATGTGTGCCACAAATACTGGGCACTTTATAATTTAATATAAATGTTATATGAAAGAACCAGATGACTGGCTCTTGCTTGTAATCCTAGCTACTCGGAAGGCTGAGATCAGAAGATCATGGTTTATAGATTCGTGAAATACCTCCAACTAACCACTAAAAAGCCAGAAGTGGGGCTGGGATGTAGCTCAGTGGCAAAGCACTTGATTGGCAAGTGCAACATCCTGGGTTCAATCCCCAGTACCAAAAAAGAAAATATAGTTAAAAAGCCAGAAGTTGAGCTGTTGCTCAAGTGGTAGAGTACTAGATTTTAACACAAAAGCTCAGGGACAGCACCCAGACCCTGAGTTCAAGCCCCAGTACCAGCACCAAAAAAAAAAAATGCTTGACATGAACAACTTCAAGGACATACTGATAAAAATGTGTATATGGCATATATATAGATGGTATTTGTATATGAATATGTGTGTGTATATATATATATGTATATATATATGTATGTATGTATGTGTATATAGGGCTGGGAAGGTGGCTCAGTGGTAGAG